GAAATGCTTTCTGATTTCTGCATTGTCAATCTCACCCCTAAAAGAGGTGGCTTTAATTTTACTAATCCACAGCATACATATTTCCCAGCCAGAACGTCATATTATTCTGTCAGTATAAATTATAATCTTCTTCAAACTTCTGAAAACTATATGTTGAAAGTGATTGCTTTGAGACCATCTTCAAACTACTGGACATCTTCAAAGTACTATCTATAAAAGCTCAAATGCACATGTATTATGTGTAAAAAAATTTAAGTGAAGCAGTCTTCTAATCTAAACTGTGTTAGTCTCAGGACTTATTTCTCCAATCATTCATACTTCATCCTTCCCTGCCCGTAAAATTAAAATCTTTTTTTCTTAGAATGAAACACTTCCAAGAAATGAGACAATCTGTTTGCTTTTGCTTTTTTTTTCTCCCACAGATTTCTCTTAGGAAAAAGTGATATTTAGTACAGGTAGTCCTCGCTTACTGACTGCCTCATTCAGCGACCATTCAAAGTTCCAACGGTGCTAAAAAAATAACTTTATGATGAATGCCTGCATTTACAACCTTCACAGTGTCCCTCAGTCACCTGATTGCCATTACAGTCAGTACATGTCCTGTACCTGACCTGTTATTTTTCTCCCACCTCTCCCCTTGCAGAGCACAGAGTGGAGAGGAAGGAATTACAAGATAGTAAGCAGGCACACAATGGGGAATACACATTGAAAGCAATGTGTTGGCACTGGCAATGCAGACAGCCCAGGAAAATTACAAGATGGCGGCGCCTCGTTTGGCTGTGGCTGCATTGGCTCTCAATAGTTTATTGGTTAAGCAGCAAGTTTGTACAATTAGATTGTTATATGACTGGCAATACATATGGGAACTGCAGACATACAATGGGCATCCTGCTGTTTTGGGGAGACTAAGTTGCCTTGGGTTGCTGCGCCAGCAGGACCTGGAGACTTACAGGACTGCAGGTTCTCTCACTGGTATTGGCTGTTTTTCGAGGAGATGGAGGAGACAGCGGAGGAGGCAGTGTGATAGAAAGCGAAGGCGGGGGAGCCGGGGAGGACTAACAGCAAGGCTGAAGGTCAACCCACATAGAGCACCGCTTCCATCCATTTTGTTTACTAATGTTCGTTCTCTGGAGAACAAAATGGATTATTTGAAGTTGGATTTTACAACAAGGCGTAAGGTGAGAGACTATTGTGCTATAGTGCTGATGGAGACGTGGTTAAAGTCATCTGTTTCTGAGAAGGCTGTTGGCATGGAGGGGTTAACGATCTTCCGACTGGATAGGAGTCTTGCTCTGAGTGGAAAAACTCGTGGTGGAGTATGCATTTATATCAATAACAGATGGTGCATCACCTCAAAGGTGGTTTCAACTTATTGTTCGCTGAATGGGGAGTTGTTGACTATCAGATGCAGACCTTTTTATTTGCCTAGGGAATTCACCGTTATTATTATTACAGCTGTATATATACCCCCCTCTGCAAATACGAGGGAGATCTTGAAAGTCCTTTATCACACTATCAGTGACCTGTAAACTGTCCACTCAGAGGGTGTGTTTGTTGTACTTGGAGACTTTAATTAGGTTAATTTGAAAACAGTCGTCCCTCATTTCCATCAATATGTGGATTTTGCAACCAGGAGTAGGGACACATTGGATTTAGCCTATTCCTAACATCAAGAGTGTATTTAAGGCCTTTCCCTACCCCAATCTCGGTTCCTCAGACCATCTCACTGTAATGCTAATTCCAGCATATAGGCCTTTGTTAACTAGAGAAAAACCAATTGTGAAGCAGGTGAGAGTTAAGCCTGAGGGAGCAATGGAAGCATTACGAAGCTGTTTTGAGTGTACAGGCTAGGTTATGTTTAGGGAAGCTGCAACGAATAACCAACATATGAATGTGGAGGAATATGTATGTAACTGCATCTGTAACTGCATATATCCAGAAGTGTATGGAGGATGTCAGTATTACTAAGAATGTCATTTTACGGGCGAATCGGAAAGCTTGGATGACTCATGAAGTATATATGAAGTTGAAAGTGAGGAATGCTGCTTTTAAGTCTGGTGATATGGGGGCTTTTAGAGCAGCTAGAGCTGATCTGAACTGGGCTATAAGAAAAGCGGGCTTATGATCAGAAAGTTCAGAATTTTTTTCACGTTTCTAAAAATACCAGGCGTATGTGGCAGGGTATTCAGACTGTTACAGATTATAAGACTATTCCGACATCATGTGAGGAGAATACAGATTTTCTTCATGAACTTAATAGGTTTTTTGGTAGGTTTGAAGCATTTAACAATACTCCT